AAAAAAAAGCATTCCCCGTATCATTTGCGCACGCACGCAAAACACGATGAAATGCTTGTGTTGACCTTTGCCTGCATCGGACGCAACCGTTTCTCTATCCGTAGCCCTTTCCAGCAAACAGCAAGCTCAGCCACACGTTATACCGCAGTCTCATATGGAAGATACTCTGGAACATGAGATTGAGGAGGTCATGGGGGAGATGTCTTCTCAACCGCCGGTCAAACGTCTTCGAGGAGCTCAGCTGCTGCTTGCCTCCATAACTCTACTCTATGTTGTTCTTTGGTTGTCCTATGTCGTCCAAGATGAACCAATGAAACACATTCCGTTGATAGTATAACCTCTTGCAGCTGCAGGTTTCGTGCCTTCTCAGATGTGCAGACTGAGTCCACCGACATGCCTCAAGCTCTTCCGTGCCCTGAGTCGTCCACTACGAAAAGCGAATTACAAAGGGAATGGATCAAACTGAAGGCCTGGAGTACTCAGAACTATGCCGCCCACGACAAGGAGACCCGGAAGCTCATTGAAATGGCCAAGTACGTCGCGGACATGAATGCAGCGAACTACATGATGTCGAATAGACAAAAGCTCTGCCTCATCATGCTGGTCGATGGAGAATCTTGGCGCGCTCACAGCAAACAAGTCTTCCAATATCAGGCTGGGGCCTGGCAAATGGTGGACGGATTGAAGGTGGATGTGTGGGACATCTTCCTAGCCTTGGAAGGTCTCTTCTTGTCTGTGGCTGAGGTCGTTGAGGCAGATGACCAAGCTCCTAGTGTCTCGTGGACATGGTCAGGCATTGAGAAGCATGTGGATATGCTCCTTCGTGACCCGCGAAGTGCACACTTGGGTGGGCTCGCGCAGAAGGCCAAAGAGTCTAGTGACCACTTGCGGAAAGTCACAGGAAACAAGACATGGCAAGCCTCGTGGTTGAGAAGGGTGGCAGACATGTTGGCGTCTTTCCGAGTGCAATGGGATAACTCGAGGGCTCACAACATCTCCAAGCTCTTCTTACTTCAATGGGAAAGCCCCATGCCCCGGTCACAAGGCGTTTGCTTCACAGACATCTACTTGGATTGTACGTGGTCAATTCAGGAGAAGCGTCCAAGCAACAACTGCTACTTGTCTGTTCCTTACCCTTTTCACTATGAAAGCCTTGTAGCTGCGGACCCCAAACTCGACCTCTCCTACTACAAAAACCAACTTCGTCTCTTCCTGGAATCCCTGTACTTCGAGAATGAGCATGTCTTCCAGGTCAAACTTTGCAGCCTACACGCAGCATTCAAGAAGGCACCGACGGCCAAGATGCTCTTTGAAGTTGGGAAGGGTGGTGACGGCAAGGGCATGGAAGCATATCTCGAGCGAGGTCTCCTAGGTGACGAGCAATCGAGCACGCTGGACTGCGGTGTTTTCCTAGACCGACAAGAATTTCGCAAGTCCGGTCACTTTGCTTGGAACAAAGCGTGTCTCGGCGTCAATGACTTGAGCTGATTGTCTATTGCTTTTATGGTCTCTTGTCTCTTTTGTCAATGCCAGTCCACCAGTGTTTTCTGTCCAGGAATGTCCGCGTTCAAGAGATGGACCATCACGCCCGGTTCGTGGCCGATCTCTGGAAACGCTTCGTCGCCGATGAGGAGATCGATGTGCGGGTCAATTATGGGTTTACGAGCAAGCGCCGCTTTGGGGACTCCATGAAGGTACAGGAACTCAACTATGAGAATATACCCATCATAGAGGAAGCTCGAGATGCAACCAAGGCTTGCCAGCAAATTCGGCGGCGCATCATTTGTCTCAGAATGGGCAAGGCTACGTTTGTCGTGGACCCAGCATTGGTGGACCATACCAAGGGCATCTACTTGCTCATACCGCAGGATGAGTTGGTTCCCTTTCTCAGTCACCCGCTCACCTCCGCTATCTACTTCCGAGATTGGTGTTTACCCTTTTTCCGGGAGAACTCTTTGGTGGACTGTGTTCAGATGCTATCAGATCTCAAAGCTGTGCACACGGACCTTGAGCGGGACACGGATTGGTTGGCCTCCAGGCTCTCTGGATCATCCAAAGGTCCTCCTGGTGATGAGCATTGCAACCGTTGTGAGAGCGAGGGTATCATCCAGCGAGTCCACGAGCAGACGCCCATGAAGCCTATCATCAAGGAGTACCTGTTGCAGAAGGTAGATGACTTGCCAGGGGGG